CACGCATAGCAACCCTCTACCTGAGAGGGACAATTTTGCAACCCTCTACCTGAGAGGGACCATAAATAGCAACCCTCTACCTGAGAGGGACAATTTTGCAACCCTCTACCTGAGAGGGCCACGCATAGCAACCCTCTACCTGAGAGGGACAATTTTGCAACCCTCTACCTGAGAGGGACCATAAATAGCAACCCTCTACCTGAGAGGGACAATTTTGCAACCCTCTACCTGAGAGGGACCACGCATAGCAACCCTCTACCTGAGAGGGACCATTTTGCAACCCTCTACCTGAGAGGGACCACGCATAGCAACCCTCTACCTGAGAGGGACAATTTTGCAACCCTCTACCTGAGAGGGACCATAAATAGCAACCCTCTACCTGAGAGGGACAATTTCGCAACCCTCTACCTGAGAGGGACCACGCATAGCAACCCTCTACCTGAGAGGGACAATTTTGCAACCCTCTACCTGAGAGGAACCATAAATAGCAACCCTCTACCTGAGAGGGACAATTTTGCAACCCTCTACCTGAGAGGGACCACGCATAGCAACCCTCCACCTGAGAGGGACAACTTTGCAACCCTTTACCTGAGAGGGACCATAAATAGCAACCCTCTACCTGAGAGGGACAATTTCGCAACCCTCTACCTGAGAGGGACCACGCATACCAACCCTCAACCAGAGAGGGACAATTTTGCAACCCTGTACCTGAGAGGGACCATAAATAGCAAGCCCCTACCTGAGAGGGACAATTTTGTAACCCTTTACCTGAGAGGGACTACGCAAAGCGAGCCCCTACCTGAGAGGGACAACTTTTTTTTGCATTTAAACTTAACCCTTTAGCCAAGAAGGATCATTATCACGGAAACAAACAGAAGACATGCATACAAATACACAATAAACAAAAAAACATGCAAGCATTTTGTATCACATTCCAATCAGTTATTTAAGGATATTAAAACGAGTAAAAGAAATAAAAATGAAAAGAAAAACCTTTCTAAAAAAATCACCTATCCTTTAGGCAGCTTTATAATCAAAGAGGCATTGCATTTAATATGAATAGAAAACTGAGATGCAATGATAAAGTTACAATATAATCTCTTAAACAGACAAACAAAATCAAAATGCTCCGTAGAATCAAATGTGATAACCTGAACTTTCTATCCTACATTGCTAGATTTGTTATATGTCTTAGCAATGTTCTTAAAAAGATAACAAAGGAGCTAGGCAACATTCATAATAAAAATCTGATCTTACGGCAGATATAACAAAAATAAATTTCCAGTAGAAGATGGTTGACACCCATCATTTAAGGAACCGACGCAACAATGAAAGGTAGATTCCGTACCATGCAAAGGAACACCAGCAAAACATGAAAATGTTTTAATCTGAGTGGCACTGGCAACAACAACTCCAAAAGGAAAATTCTTAAAGTGCGACAATCTCGTTGCTGACCCGAGAAACTTATGAAAACGTGACACTACAAGGTGGTATTATTTCCTTGACCACAATGCTGAACAACTTTACTATGCTCGGGCCACACATCCGCAAAATGTTTAAGGTTACGAAATGCAAAAGAACCCGAACTACCAGCAGCATCAGAGGTAACGAAACTATTAAGAGCTAAAGTAAACTGTGCCCAGTCAAGCAAACGAAGCAAAATATACCAGTCTTTAGATAGAATAAGACAACAACTTTGAAAGGCAAGAAAGTTGTTACTATAACAACAACTATACCTAACAAAAAGTGATCTCACAATATGTAACTGAGCCGTTAAGTCTCTATATAAAGGCCTAATTCCGAGAAACAAAAAAATCAAAATGAATTGCAACAAAAGCCTTGTCACAGCAGTATTTTTGTCTCAAGAGCCTTCATTCCAAGAATAAATCCGCTGTTTCCATAGCATGGCTTAAATATAGTAATGAATAATGATGGAAGGCTAACGAAAAGCGCCTAAAGTTAATAATTCATTTAATTTCTTGCCGGAATAGCTTTCCATTACACATGGTCGTTCATAATAAAGAATAGTTGAAAATAAACTACGTGACACAAGTCAGAATAAATGTTATCAAGCAGCAACAAAACTAGCCCCTCGAGTAAATTCTGCTAAAAAGATACAAGCTCGAGGCGACAAAGTGAATGTCGTGAACAGCATACGAATGCAACTACTCAAATACACACGATAATTGATTTTCACTGCGAGAGACCAAGCTACAAACACCAAAGCATTTCTAAAACAGCCTGGAAAACATACCTGGAAGCCATTAAAGGTACTAATACTTCGACAGTCACCTCTTCATCAGCAAGCCTGAGCCAAACACAGTGGCGAGAAAAGAACAGCGTGGAAACAGCATACAGCAAACAAAACCAAAACAAATTGTATTGTAGCATCACCAAGCAAATAAACAGCACACTCTATTCGTCGCCTTTCACCAAGGAAAGTGAAACCAACAATATGCCAAAAACCCCAAGAATATTTAAATACCCCCAAGAATAACCTAGGGAATGAAAACCGCCATGAGCCATAAATCTTGCCCTAGCATTACTAAACAAAACCCCCGGAGACCAAGACTACTTCGCAATACCAATAAACGAGCAACGCAAATGCAAGAGAACCACGAGAAAGCGTGGCACATGAGACCAAAAATATGAATAACAGTCAATGTTCAACTCAGGAGTAACAGCCAATGCAAAAACCCCTTCGTGAAATTAACTCTGATTAAATTTCATTAAATCATCATTTATCATCAGAGGTCTTCATAATGTTTTCGATACAAACAAAACATGTACTGCAGCACTTGTCTCTGATCAAATAATCAAATAAATAACAATGGCAATGCATAATAACAACGTACCTCTTACTGTCACAACCCGAGATTACACTTGGACTTGCAGATCTTCCATTTATAGGTTTTTCCGCTAGCCAAGGGCGGCGTCTGTGCATTCCTTACAGTAACCAACACGCTTGGCAACAATCCACCCATCAGTTCTTTCGTCTTTCTCAGGTATTGCACATACTTAACATATCGCAGACAAGCAAATAATGCAGCCATTCTTCGTTTCTCTGAAACAAGCAGGATAAATAAGCGACGAAGTAGCTAGATGTCTAACTCTATTGTTATCGACTGAGGCAAAATCACTCATGCGGTAAAAGGGCAAAAAGACGATTCCGCATAAGGTCTCAGTATTGGAAAATCCGCAGCTGGCAAAAGAAACAAAATATTTTAGAAAATCTATTTAATTTAGCAAGATAACTTATAATTTGTCAGCTTACCGTATGCATTCAGGCACGTAAATAATAGGGGGCGTGGGGGGCGTAACGCCCCCCCCAAAGTTTGGAAAATCCAGTTACAGTCCAAACTTATGAATTTCATATTTTAAGACGTTTTTTGATTTCAAATGTAAAAATTCTAAACATCAAAATTCACAGGCTGAAGCTGACCAATCCACTAATCGTTTTCTATTGTGAATCCCGTTTCCACTGGATCCAAATTGCACAATTGCCTCGTTTGCTTTCTTTTTGACGGGAGTTGAATCAATTTACGAACAGGCAAGGTGAATTTCCGGATAAGAAACTTGAAACTTTACAGTTTGGAATAATAATACCCGCATTGATCAGAAAATATTAGAGTGGGAGAAGAAATTACGAGTAGTTAATTCAATAAAAGATTAAGAATCTTTCAGTACTAAAAATTCTCAACGCTTCTTATAAAAAACGAGTTTATGCTAAACTCCCACTGTTATTTATGAACGTCCTTGCCTCATTATCATAAATTCCTATGACAAAACTGCTGTGAAGCAAGAACACATTGCAAAATTGCAGTAGAAGTATATGATCAAAGAAGAGTGTTTCATCTTTCGAGTCAGGCATATGCACAAGTTTGCTCTCAAATCATCATTTCAATTGTAAAGAACGAAAAGGCATTTGGTCCTCTGAAAAGTGTTAATAGTTTTCTTCGATCAAGAACAAAAATAAAAGGCTCGAATTCTGGGTGCTTCTATATCGTGAAAAAATGTATTTTAGATACATAGATCTGCATCAATTGATCAATTGGTCAATTTAGATAAAATTGATCAATTGATCTGAAAGAATACTACTAATCAATAAGTATATCTAAGACTGGTTTTGCTTGAATGTTGCTTTACTTCTTACAGTAAGTTTAAATTTTTGTTTCATGGTAATCAAAATTTAGAGATTTAGGCTTTTTTGCTTTAGGCTAATTGTTGAGTAAGGTTTTGGTAATTGTAAAGAAAATAGAACTATGGTGTTCGGGCTATTTACAAAGATCAATTTGGTTGGTACAGTAGATTTACTGGTCGCATGAAAAATTTCTCACTTAAAGTTGGAATTTTCATCCTTCCACGCCCCTCCAAAATTAGCAACTTATTTTCGTCCCTGTATGCATTTAGAAGGTTTTAAGCCATAATATAAAAAGTTGTCATAATGATATTAGGGTACTTGCTTACATCCACTTTTTTACTTATAAAATACAAAATGAACCCAATTTTGAAATTATTTTTCGTTTTTGGCAAATAAACCCGAAAACAGTCTACCTGAAAAGGTAAACATTGCCTAGGCCAGAGTGGACCGTGCGAGCACCGCAGCAATAAATATTTTGAAAATCTTGAAACCCTATTTAAAAACACAATTTATGGCTTAAAACTTTTTAAATTAATACGGCAAGCTAGCAAAGTATAACTAACCTTTCAAAATTATGCTAATTTTCGATAATATTGGTTTTTTTTCGTCCAGCTTGCAACTTCCTGTACTGAGCCCTTGTGCGGAATCGTCTTTTTGCCCTTTTACCGGTTGAGTGATTTTGCCTCACCAGCTCAATGGGCAATTATGCCCAGTTAGACATCTAGCACATGTAGCAGCCGCCATGTTGTTCGATGTGAATTTACGCGCCATTCTTCGTGCGCATGCTCAGCCTCATTTCGAAACAGAAAATTATTACAATTAATTTATGCATTTGGCTCGGCACATGGGCAACGTGACGTTTGATTCGAAGTCGTGTCACAGTCGTGCTACTCGACTGGATCAGTCGGGCCAATTGATTTGGGTCGACCAAAAAGATCGAATCAAACGTTGTGCCACTCATGTGCTTAATTCATGTATTTGGTTCGCCACATAACAGGCTCGACGTTTGATCTAGGCCTAACCTGCAACCTGAATGAAAATTGCTGTAGCCATCTGTCGCCAGTACTCCACAGACGAAATTGTACCCGCAAAATAATTGGTTTGGTCAGGGCTTAATTTGTGCAAGCGATCTTGGTAAATTGATATCAAACGAATAGGCTAGCCAGCATTAGAGCAGCAGATATCAAGATGGTTGAAGGAGATCAGAAACCCAAAGAAGCTGTGAACGTGGACGAGTTTCTGCAACATGTTGGCGAGTTTGGAAGGATGCAAGTTTATCTTCAGATAATGTTTTTCTTGCTTATTATTCCGTCTACGTACCAGAAATTCATCGGGACATTCGTGGGTAGCAATCCACCATGGCAGTGCACTGGCATACACAGAGAGTGCAATACAACTGGTGTCATTTACGAAATAGGAGACCCGATGTACAACAAAAGATGTGATCTACAGAATCGAAGTTCGTGGGAGTTTACTAAGCCTAAAAAGTATTCGATTGTAACTGAGGTAGTCTGAATTTTGCTTTTTTTATTCCTTTTCCTTAATGAAAAATTCATTACATCGTGCTTCTTTCAATGCCATAGTACACAATACATCCTTATTGCTTAAGTCCTGCAAATCTCTAGACATCTTTGTTCATCTGTCATAAACCACAGCTTTGCTGTTTATCTTAGCTGTTTTCATTCCAGCTGTTTAGAGAGTTTAAGCACAACAACGCTAACGTTAACTTTGGAATCATGAGATCATAATACGCCCACACGTCACTGGCACATGATCAGACATGTGAGCATTCAGAATGGCACGTTAGACCACTAGGCAAACAAATGGCTCCACCTTTGTACAAAAATAAGTATATTATTCTTTGTTAAATTTTAAAAAATGTTCCCAAATATTCAAATCTTTAATTTTCAAACTCAAATCTGTGATTCTGGTACTATTTTTTGATAAGCAAAAAGGGGGCACAGGAAGAAAATAGGGCATTTCTCTAACAAGAAATAAGGTAAGCCGATATCTCCGAGGGGCCATCCATGGCCTCATTCCTTTTTCTAAGCAAGGGGAGTTTATGAAGAAACACCACTGACTTGCTTCTACCTGAAAATCCTGAAGTTAGGTACCTTCGTAAAATCTTGAAAAAATAAATTGCAAAATCTTCCCTCGCTTGTCCGAACTATCAAATATGTGCTGTCAACGTTGATGTGAAAGAATCAAGATAAAAACAAACGAGATAAGTTGAAAAAAGAGCTATAGTTTGGCCGAACGTTAACTCACTGATGCTAGCGTTCCTAAACAATGGAGTAGAACGCTAACGTTAGGGTCCTCTCCCTTTCATTTTGACTGTTCACATGATGCGCAGGGTCCTCCTCCTTTCAACTTATTTTGTACACATGATATGCGGGGCCGTTCATAACAAGACAATAGGCAATGACGCAACAACGTTAAGGTTGAGGTTAGCGTTGCTGTGTTTTGAATACGTAACTTGAAACCATGAAACCACAGAATGGGAAATAGGCAAAAGGGGTACCCCTGCCTATCAGGTGAAGCCTGAAAAAACTTGCGCATGCGTTAACTTATAAGAGGCTTAGCATGTATCTGTCGCGGAAATTTTTAAAAAAGAATGAAAGTAGACAACTTTATTTGAGACGAAATGCCCCATGATAGTGAACAAATTCAATTATGTATCATAATTCATTTATATCTGATTAATGAATGATAATTTGTCAAGGCTTCAAAAGCCATGACATGCATTTGTCATGTCAAGGCTTCAAAAGCAATAAAGGAACCGACGAGAGCTACCCTTTTGCCCATTTCCTAGTCTGTGATGAAACAGTGGCGTATTGGGGATGAGGTTGCAAGGAGGCAAAGGGTCAAAATGGCGCCCCTCATTTAGCTATCTGCAAATTTTCCTTCAAATATTTGGAAATGTGCAGAAAATTACAAGAGCTCTGCAGCACGCAGATCCGTATCTAACTATCTGTGGCGTACTGAAAGACCTTAAAATAAGGGGCGAAAGAGAATTTTCAAATAGAGTATATTATTCTTTGTAATACCTAACAGCATTTTTCAGTATCGTTGTAGCGGCTGTAGCATTAAACTGCACAACAATGATAATCAGGAACGTCACTGTTGAGGGAGATTGGGGTTAGGGAGGGGGCGGTAAGATCGTTCAGGAGCCATGGTTGGCGGCAATGAATTGCAAAGAAGTACTTCTAGAGATGGTCGGAAAATGCATCTAAATATTTACAACATCGCTCTAGACTCGTGAAAGATCCTGGACAATACCCATAAGCTTTCTTCAAACGATGGCCCAAATACCGGTGCGAGGCAGGCCTTGTTTGGGTTTACTACAAATTTGCCTGATTGAAAGAGTTACCTGAAATTCTTTTGTTGCTGACACCCGAAGGGCAATTCACTCCTGCAAATAGCGTACGAGATTTTCCTTAAAACAAAAGGATTCCCGAGGATTTTCAGATAAAACAATAGGATTTCCACCAAAGGTGTACGAGATTTTCTTGGAGTGATTTGCCCCTCGGGTACGCCCCTCCGGTATCTACTTTGTGAAAAAGCCATTTAGACCCTGTTTACACTGTGCCGGATAAATTTTATCCGCATAAAATTAGTTCAGATAGGGCTCCCGTATTACACTTGACCCAACCCGACTCAATCGCACGAATTTGAGAGCGGCATCGGCCAAAAATTCATTCACCTAGGAAAATGGATTAAATTAGTTCATGATAGCTATTTGTGTTAACAGTCGTAGACTTGAACTTTTATCCGGAATTAAATTTTATCCACATCCGCCTCGCGCAGGTTGATCTTTAATTTTACAGTCGAGGTCTCTTTCAATGAAGAGAAAAAGATGCGGCGACGGTGCGCGAAACCTCTCATTCTCGTAAACAGAATGTGTTTTCACCAATGCTGCACGTCACGTCGTTTGTGACTCTATATATTGCTGCAGTGACATGTTACGTACGCTACAGGGAAAAGGTTCATAACAAGCGCTGATTCCTCGTTTGCCAATCCGTGCGCCCCTTAACTGTTTAAGATATTTATTTTGGGGCTAATATATGCCGCACTTTGCCCCCCCCCCCTGCTCTAGTACTGGCCTACTGCATGAAATATTTCTTATGGATTTATGTATATATCACTTGCACATTGGCGTTGTTTGTATGGTCGTGACCAAGCGAATAAGTGGAGGACCTATTATAGGGCGATAGCCGAAAAGCCGTCGCAAATGTACCGATGCAAAAATCAACCAACATGTAGTCATCCGCAATGCGAATTGGGCGCAACAGACCCGCCATGCTCTGCTCCTACCGATAGCAGAACAGAGGACCCTACATCAAGGGGCATTAATTTGAACAATGTATTGAACACAATAATTAAGGTTTTATGACTTATTTCACTAAAGGCAATAATCGAATGCCATTAGATTTTTTGATTTGAAATATGATTATAACTTTGGTTCCCAATATGAAATAACAAAATTAAACTGAATACATCTTTTAATCGTCTGTGTAGATATAGCTATTGATAACATCCCCCCCCCCGCATTGACTCAAGTGACTTGTTGTATGTCAGAGCAATTTAGATACCATAATTCACTGCCTGGGTTCGCGTCATTTAAACTTATCTCAAACCCTTCTTTTTTGGGCATTACTCTTGGAGA